TTTTTTTTTTTTTCAAAACCATACTATCTGTTCAACGTTTTAATTTGTATACGCGTAAGTGTGTGTATGCATGTCAGTGATTAAATGTATAGTATATTTGTACAGGTGTGGTTAATGTTAATCACAATATTGTAATTTTATACATATTTTTTATGCATGAAATCAACCGTGTGCGTGTAAATTAAATTGTCTGCATGTAATTCTGTTTTCGAAGAGATAAGCTAAAGATGAATTTGTATATTTTTAATTATTATTTTCTTATTATCTGTTAATAATAATTAAAAAAAAAATATATATATGTATATATATAGGAACGTGTGTGCAAGACAACAATATAGATGATAATGAATATAAATAAATGATTAATAATATTAATAATAATAATAATAATAATAATAATAATAATAATAATAGGTTTACAAATAAGTTTCCGCCGTTTTTATGTATATAGCGCGGCGCGGAGTTTCCGTTAACTTTCGTAGATGATATCCTGCTTAAAAATTAGTTTAGACGTTTAAGAACAACATAACCTATTAATATTATTGATTTCATATTAGTAAAATATAATTTTTTTTAGTTGAAAGTGTCCAAATTTGAGCCAAATAAGCGTCATTTGCGGGAAATATTAGTTTACTTCTTTAATATAAAGAAATCTGCTGCTAAAGCGCATAGATTGCTCGTAGAAGCATATGGTGAGACTGCTTTGAGTGAGAGAACGTGTCGTGAGTGGTTTCAAAAGTTTAAAAAACGGTGATTTCGACGTAGAAGACAAAGATCGCAGTAGAAGGCCAAAAATTTACGAGGATGCAGAATTGGAGGAAATATTGGTGGAAGATTCATCTCAAACACAAAAAGAACTTGCTGTACCATTACAAGTCACTCAGCAAGCAGTCTCAAATCGTTTAAAATCATTAGGAATGATTAATAAACAAGGAAATTGGGTTCCGTACGAAGCAGCGGTTCAAATCATATGAAGATACCAAAAATTGGGTTGATTCGTGGATAGCCTCAAAAGACAAGGAGTTCTTCCGACGTGGGATYCGAATGTTGCCTGAGAGATGGGAAAAAGTCATTGCAAGTGATTGACAGTATTTTAAATAACCTTAAAATTACCATTCTTCTAGAATAAATACTTAATTTTTAATAAAAAACGGCGAAAACTTATTTGTAAACCTTATAATAATAATAATAATAATAATAACAATAATAAGCAATATAATAATAATTATTAATTATTAATAATTATTCACTTTCGTTGGCAAAATACATGGCGATAAGGGAGAAAAAAAAATGTTATTACTTATGCGAATTTATAATA